AAAAAAAAAAAAAAGTGTAAAAAAATTGAAAGGCCCCCCCCCCCCCCCCCTCCATCCCTGTTTACTCTAGTGTTGTTTTTTATTACGTTTAATGAAATAAATATTACAAGTCCTTTCAAATTACTATGTTTGATTTCAATAAAATGATAGAATCTATGTCACATTACATTTGATGGTGATTATGGGGGTTTATAATTTATGGATCCCCATCGTATAATTTTTGGTTTATAGAATTAATTATTAAATTGTGAGGAGGTTGATGTTATATGTAATGTGATGAATATAGTTTTTTTTTAAGTTGAAATTGTAATAGGGATAGATTTCGAGCTTTATAGATATATAAAAATGGTATGGATGAATAGTATTTAAATAAATAACATTATTAGAATGTGATGTGGATGAATGAAAATAGCATTTTAAAAATTTTTTAATATGAAAAGATATAGAGTGAGATAAATATATAATAATAGGGATGTAAATGACGGCTCCCAAAATTTATGCTCATTTTGTTGTCAATTAAAATCAATTTTTTAATAGATTTTGTTAAATATTGATACAATGTATAGTTTAAAAGGTGTGAATCCCATAAAATATATTATTTAATATTAATTATTTACTTGAATGTGAGTTTTTATAATTTTTAAAATTTATCTACATTAAACATGGGCTATATTTTATAAACAAGAGTGAAGACTTGCAAAGGCGAAAATTTGGACAATTGAAGTAAAACACCAGTTGTGGTGATGTACAACACAATGTCAATGCGAAGGTAAAAATTTCGATAGTCGAAAGTAAACACCAGTCATGACGACGTACAATAGATTGATGATGAATATCATAATTTTTAATTGATCAATTTGGACAATAAAATGTGGCTCCACTTAGGGATGGCAAAAAAGTTCACCGACTCGGGCTCGGTTACACCGGGCCGAGCCTTATTTTTTGGGCCGGACTTTACTCAGCTCGACTCAAGCCCAAAAAAGCTCGGTCCAAAAAAGCTTGAGCCCGAGCCTTATTTTTTTGGCAGGACTTTACTCGGCTCGACTCGAACCCAAAAAAGCACGGTCCAAAAAAGTTTGAGTCAAATCTGAGCTTTTTTATATAATTTATAGTGCGTATAAACCGTACAAATTTTAAATTTTTTAAATAAAAATGTAGATTTGACATTTAAAAAACCCGAACGGCTCGGCCCGCTCAGGCTCGGGTAGAGAGCTCAAGCGGAGCCTCCTTTTTTTGGCCTTGCTTTGCTTTTCTTGGGTCGGGCTCAAAAAATCTCGAGCTCATGATTAAAGATTAATTATACTATTATCTAGACTCGGGCTAATCACCAGTTATGCGCAGAATTACGATAAGAACAAAGTAAATATGAATATGACATGGAATTGAATTGGTCAAATCTTTGACCGTACATTGTCGACTGTACAACGGCTTCATTTGAATTTTGTTGGCGTCCAAAATTACTACTCCAATTGGTGGGTCCAAACTGGATCTATAATGTAAAATCAGGTGTACACAGGCTCCCCTCCAAAATTAGCCTGCCTATATTACCGTTATAAAACCCTTATACATAATCTCATTCCTTGTCCAAATATGTCTCTTTTTCTTCGAATTACCGACCCCACTCACCCATGACCAATTCCCCCGAACCGTTTAAACCCCATTTTTCCTCCTATCCCCGCCTCCATGAACCAAAAAACTTCCAAGAAATCTTCACATTAAATCTTTTCTTTACAATCCCACATTAAAATTCTAGCATTGTACGCCATGAATCCAAGAAAGCTTCTTGTATTGTGCACTTTGTTGTTCCTCGTCAACCTCTCGCACTACCCCTTACTGGTGTCATCAGAGAACGTGAATCTTGATTTCCCTGTCTTCTCTTTTCGAAACTTCACTATTCTTGGAGATTCTTATCTCCGAAATGGCGTTTTTGGACTCACCAGGGAGCTTGAAGTCCCAACATCAAGCTCTGGTTGTGTAATCTACAACCACCCAATTGAATTCTTCGATCGAGAAACCAATATCACTGCTTCTTTCTCTACAAGATTTTCTTTCTCAATTGGGAATGCTAATCCGTCGTCGTTTGGAGATGGGTTGACCTTTTTCATATCTCCAAATAACCAGACCTTAGGAAATGCAGGAGGGTACTTGGGCCTTGTCAATTCATCGCAATTGACCAAGAACAAATTTATTGCAATTGAATTTGATACACGGCAAGATTTGCACTTTAATGATCCTGATGACAACCATGTTGGGTTGGATAATAACAGCCTTATCTCAATCAAGACTGCCAATGCTGCAGAGTGTGAATTTGAAGAGTGGGAATTTGATTACTGCTTGGATTGATTACAAGACTGCCAATCTGATGCTGCAGAGCGTGAATTTGAAGAGTGGGAATTTGATTACTGCTTGGATTGATTACATGAATGGGAAGAAGAAGTTGGACATTTTCTTGAGCTATTCAAGTTTCAAGCCTGAAAAGCCATTGTTGACTGTAAATATTGATCTTTCTCGTTATCTAAACGAATTTATGTATGTAGGTTTTTCAGCTTCTACAGAGGGAAGCACAGAGTTGCACTACATTGAGAATTGGAGTTTCCAAACTATGGGATTTCACCCTGTGAGACCAAGAATTCATCCTCACAATGTATCTGATAGCTCCGTGCCACATACACCACCAACTCCGGTTTCGAATTCGGGCAATAAACACCACGAGAGGATCAGATTGGGCCTCGGGATTGGCTTTCCAGCCTTTTTTTGCTCTGTTCTTGTGGTATTTGGTTGGATATCTGTCAAGAAATGGAGGGACAGCAGAACGGAAAAAAGCTTGAAGGCAGAACTTGTCACTGGGCCGAGGCAGTATAGTTACAAAGAGATAAAATCAGCCACGAGAGGGTTTCATTCAAGCAGGATTGTTGGGCATGGAGCCTTTGGCACTGTTTATAAGGCCTTTTTCACGGAATTGGGTACCACTTCTGCTGTCAAAAGATCCAAGCATGCCCACGAGGGTAAAACCGAATTCCTTGCTGAATTATCAATTATAGCTTGTTTGAGGCACAAAAATTTAGTTCCTCTCCAGGGTTGGTGTGTTGAAAAGGGTGAATTGCTGCTTGTTTATGAGTTCATGCCTCATGGGAGTCTTGATAGTCTGCTTTACGCAGACTCTGAAAATGGGAATCCACTGCAATGGTCGTATAGATATAATATTGCTGTTGGACTGGCCTCTGTTCTTACATATTTGCATCAAGAATGTGAACAGCAGGTGATTCATAGGGACGTAAAGACCAGTAATATAATGCTGGATGCAAATTACAATGCAAGGTTAGGGGATTTCGGATTAGCAAGGATAATGGATCATGGGAAGAGCCCGGTTTCAACTCTTACGGCAGGAACAATGGGATATCTTGCTCCAGAATACCTTCAGTATGGGAAAGCAACTGAGAAAACTGATGTTTTTAGCTATGGCGTTGTTATTCTTGAACTAGCCAGCGGGAGAAGGCCGATTGAGAGGGAAACAGAAAGTCATAAAATGGTGAATTTAGTGGATTGGGTATGGATGCTACATTCAGAAGGAAAGATAATTGAAGCAGCTGATAAAAACATGAATGGTGAATACGACAAAAAAGAGATGAAAAAGCTGCTGCTTGTAGGCCTGAGCTGCGCCAATCCGGATAGCATGGAAAGGCCACCAATGAGGGGAGTTCTTCAGATTCTCAACAATGAAGCAGAGCCTATGGTAGTGCCAAAGGCGAAGCCGACTCTTACTTTCTCAAACAGTCTTCCTCTAAGTATCGATGACATTGTTTTAGATTGTGAAGACAGTGTGATGCCTGAATCTCAGTTTGAAATCAGGCTTGAATGAAGTAAGATTTTGACATGCTGATTTAATATTCTTTTATTTTTTTATTTTTCCAAATAGGCAGGTTATAGCTGTTTGTTTTTATTACTATCAAATATAATGACTGTCATAGCCGTTTGTCTCCATATATTGAATCCATTTTGAGAGATACGTAGAATCGAGCAAACAATCATCAATAACAAGCATGCACTTATATGATATTTGTAATTTTAGGTCGAAATAGTGTTGATGATATAGAACATATTTTCACCAAGATTCTCCATGTCGTCTTTTCCTATGCAAATAATATATACATGTACACAAGGCGCTACCTAGCCCTGTGCCTTTTTGGCTCGTGGAATATTGTCTCCACGATATGAAATAAAAAAACAAATGTATGTGTCTCAAATCACTAAATTCAAGACATCTGGTATAAGAAGATAATGTTGAATATAATGGAATTGCAGACGTACCTATTATTTTTCATGTCGGATATACCACTTGAGATTCCCGATGGTCATTAAGGGTAGCCATAATAGGATGTTTGGGATCCGACAACAGTATATGAATGATGTTAGGAGGTCCCTTGGTGGCATCAAGACTGCGGATTGGCACGATGAGCTGTATACATAGGCTATGCCTAATTTTTATATCTTATATCTTTCAGTGCAATATCATAAGTTTAGGTGAGCAAAGATAGATACAACTGTTATCTCTTGAGTCTCGTTGGGTGATGATTGACCCATAGGCACTGAAAGGTGCCAATTTCATTGACCAAATTGATATTTGAGCTCATATGATACATCGCAGTGAGATTCGGAGCTCAAAAGCTAAAAAGATAAATAAGCTAAGATATTAATGAAATGCGTAAATTTTTAAAATGAAATTATAATGAAACAAATGGTAGGAATCGTCCATACCATTACTTATTGAGTATTCGTACATATAGTTTTGCATTTATTTGCTGTTTCTTAAAATCGAAATTATGAATAGATCAAAGTGATATCGGTTTTAAAGTTAGAAAAGAAATACGATTCGTAGCCTTGACTCGTATTCTTTAAGCTTTAGTAAAGGGACACTTATACGATTCACTAGCTCATTTTACGTGAGAGTTTTTTATATTCAAAGTAGAACGTGTATTCTTTGCGCTTTAGTGAGATGAAGCGATATCACTGCTATGTCTTGCATGACAGCTTCTTATTATCTAAAAGTAGAACTTGTATTCTTTATGCCGATCCAATCTACGAGGAAAGATTAATCTCAACTTTGCTAAAATATATCACCAAGTCTAGTTGACTAATAATTGATCTCAACTTTTTGAAATCCATTATTTTCACCACAAGTGAATCTTTATATTCAAGACAATTCAAAATTAATTGATAGACAATTAATCTCAACCGTTTGTAAAGCACAAAGGATGGCAACGGGCATGCTTAACTCGTCAAACCGGCCAATCCTGGCCTGTGGGTCCATTATATTTTATTTTTTCTTAAAATGAATTTTCTTAAAAAATAAAAAATAAAAAATACAGATAACCTAAAAGAGACAAATTGTAAGCGAGAAAAGCTTTGTTGTCAAATTGCAAAACTTTTTCTTTAAAAAAAAAAAATCCGTATATTTGTTAGTCGATTTAACACATTTGGTGATAAACGAAAATGGCAATGAGTTAAAAAAAAAAAATTAATATTTGAAAATTGATGGATAAAAATAAAACAGTTTAGAGCGTTTAAACGAGTGTTGTAAAATCAAAATCGAGTGTAGGAGTATCATTGTTTAGTTTATTAATGTTGTTTTATCAATATCGTTAGTCACATAAGCAGTGTCATCACAACTTCAACAAGATCGATAAATATATCAACAAATACGTGAAAAGTGATCGAATTGAAACAACTTTATAACTTCAGTAGCCATCTAAGTTGTTACTCCTATATTTTACGAGGTGCGCTTGTGACAAGATGGGGCCCATATTCTTTAGCTGGGATTTTACTATCCATTTTACTAGACAATGGTGATGTCAATTTAATTCGGCTGGACCAATCTTCTTATGGACTTGAGCCTAGTTTGGATTTTATGATGTGTAGGGACAATATTATTAAATAATCATGTTTGATGTATATCATGGGATACACTATTGCTTACATTTTGTCACATGACATTCTCCAATAGGATAGCTTTAAAAATAAGGTATTTTCATCCAATTATAATGGTATGCAAATGTCGCAATCCATTATTAAAAGCCTATCTTGACCCACATGTCTCATATTCGTGTGCATATATGTAAATCAATTGAGTTAAGAATTTTAACACATAGAATTATTAATTTTTTCTACTTATATTCCGTGCACTCAATCATTTTATTTATTATAATTCCTGCAAGAGACTTGATCATCGGAGTGCAAAACGATCGTCAGAATTTTTCTTGGAATGAATTGACGTCCTTGACCTCTAATAGGGTGTTACGTGGAGGCAATGTACGGGTGGATGATAGACGATATTGACAATAATTTGATCGTATTAGATTTTGAGGTCAACGTAAGTTAAAAAATTAAAAAATAACTAAAGTACCACACTATAAACACAATTTTGAACCATATGTCCTAATCAAGTAATCATAATACAAAGTATTTGTTTGTATATACACATTGTTCATCTAAGAGGGTATATTTCAACAACAAAACAAACGAACTTATAAAAAAAAAATGAAAAAGTTGAGAAAAAACCAGAAGAGAATGCAGAGAGTGATCTGAATCTGAGGCGCGGCGTCGCAGACAGAAGAAGAAAGAGCACACTCCCACCAGAAACAAAGACCCTTTGCTGATGCCGGGTTGTCCTCTCTCTCTTCTGTCAACAAATTTCCCTACTTTACCAGCACTTAAATTTTCTCCACAATTGTACCTGCAAAATAATTAAAAAATATATGAAGAAAAGAACTTGCCTGTACAAATGTGTGCATGTGTATGTAAAAATGGTGTTGCAGTTCCATGAAGGAAGGCTCCCTTGGGATCAGGAGTATAAAGAGTGCACGGACCCTGGTCAACTTGGACATATCCTGCTGTTAACCTCCACCCATCACCGAGGGACCGAAGATGGGTGGTCCAGAACATAGTTTGGTGTAGCTGGGATATCTGGATATCAAAAAAAAAAAAAATACCTGGACAGTAGTGAAGTAGGAGACCCAATTTATGGAGACTGGCCATTATGGAGACTTTGTAACGCTTGGAAAGTTACAAACTACAGACTGAAAAATATTACTGTAATCTAAGAACAGTCAATTAAACTGATGTCAGAGTCTCATCAATGAAACAGAAACAAAGACTTGAAAAAAAAATGGATTTTGAATTTCAATGGCGTTTCAAAATTAAGTCTAGTAGTAAAATAGTTACCTGGATAATTATGTGTAGAGAATCACTTATTTTTGTCTGTTAAAGAAAAATTATGAATAAACCAATGACTATACTGAAATTTGTTTTAAAGTTTTTAAAGAAATGTAATTCTTAGCCTCGACTTGTATTCTTTACACCTTATTAAAGGGATGTTTTAAAACTAAGAGTGCATTTGATTGCCAATATTTTTCATGAAAAACGTGTTTTTTCCATCTAATTTTCTACTTTTGTATTGTTTGATTAACAATTTTTCTATAGAAAAATATTTTCTTACTTCTGGTTATATGATCATATTTTCCTTGAAAACAAGGAAAATAATTTCTTTAGTGAGGGGCGATTTTTATTTTTCAGGTAATTCACTCCCTCTTTCTCTATCTCATCTGTCTCATCACTCATTTACCGATCAATAAAAAATGGACAAGTATAATATTTTCTAAATTGAAAACTAAATCAATCAAAAACATTCAATCAATAATTTTCATACAAATGAGTTCTAAACAATTAAATTGCTTAGAATTTATTTTCGTTACGAGTGTGTTTGATTGGGAAGGAAAATGTTTCCTAGAAAAGAAAATGTTTTCCTTGCTTTGAGGAAAACGAAAACATACTCCCTCCAGAGAAAATATTTTCCTTAAAAATATAGAAAATTAAGCATATTTTCAATGAAAAAAAATAGTAATCAAATACTCGAAGTAGGAATTTGGAAAGATAACCAACATTTTCCATGAAAAATAAACATGCTCGCAATTATCAAACGGACTCTAAGAGTTTTTAATAATCAAAACATTACTTGTATTCTTTATACTACACTCACTAACAAAATGATAATGTAACATGTACCAATAAATCATGTGTAGCTAATTGTAGCTTGACAATGACTTGTATCTAATGGAAGGTCTCAAATTCTCCTAGTTACCTCGTGCTTTGTTTACGAAAAGAATAGTATTGGGTTCCACGAAATGTGTGATTAATTTATGGACAGTGATTGTTAACGTGTGAATGAAATTAATGTTTGACTTTGACTAAATAAAAAAATTGAACTTTGAGTAACTTTTTATTCTACAGAAGAGAAATTATCTTTTTCCAACATTTTCATTAATAACAAAGTGAGCTTAAGATTTTGATTAATAAAATAAAATTGGAATCCTTAGAGAGGGAATTTGCCCTTTAAACCCCAAAGTTTGATTGTTTCTAACATTTGAAAAATGGAACAACAAAGTCACGTAAAGCTTAACTGATACATCCCACTTCCCACTCTTTCCTCTCCATATACCTCAAAATTAACTGCCATGGCTTCCTTTTCCCTATAACTATAAGAACTCAAACACCATTCCTTACTCGCACTTCTGCTCAACACAGAAATCTTCACAGTACATGTGCTAATGATATCTCTAATGGCTTCTCCTGCAATCACCTTCAAAATGGTTTTTCTCTCGGCCCTTTTTGCTGCAGTCTTGGTGAACTCGTACCGGTTCGAAGTTGGAGATGAAAGAGGGTGGAGTAAACCAACTGGAAAGGATCCTCAATCATATAATCAGTGGGCTGCTAAAAACAGATTCCGTATTGGAGATACAGTTTGTAAGTGCTTTCTATGAATATATACAATCAGTTTTTTGCATTTTGGTTTGTTGATTATCATTTTTTCAGATTTCAAGTACCAAAATGACTCAGTGCTGGAAGTGATCTCTGCTGATTACTTAAACTGCAACACATCAAACCCTATCTCGAAATCTGAAGATGGAGACACGGTTTTCCAATTTGATCGTTCAGGGTTCTTCTATTTTATCAGTGGGCAGCCTGATCACTGTAAAGCCGGCCAAAAGATCATTATTCGTGTGATGCATCCCTCTGAAGTGGAGTCACCTGGGCCCGCGCCATCCCCGGGAGGAGATGGTGGTGGTTGGGATTCGGACAACTGGGAATCTCCACGGTTTAATGCTACCTCCAAGCTCTTTGCTGTCTCTTATTTCATGACTGTTGTGGCAGGCCTGTTTGTTGTTCTCTATTTGTTCATGTAAAAGACATCATTGTTATTTAGGTTTCATTAGCTGGTAGATTCACTAAGGTTGCTTTAGTTTTATACTTTTCAGTAACATTGTGGTTGATTATTGATTGCTGTGACACTGATTTACTGAAATCCCACTATGAGCATTTTCAATTCATGTTGTTGACATTTTGCCCATTTGACAATCATTATTTGAAGAAAATAAAGTTTTAAATAGGAATTTTAGGAGAATACTGGTCAAAAATTAGGAATTTTTTTTTTTTTTTACGTGCAAAATATTTTATTTGATGAATGTATAGTTGAAAATGAGTATTTAAAAAAAGAGAGTTTGAATCCTGATTGAAACAACATCGTTCAGGTTCTCAAACATTCGTGGGTCAAATGTATGATCCAAATCATGCTAGCTCGACCAAGTTCACACCTCAGTTAACCACCAACTTTTTGCAAGCCGAAAAAAATTCAATGGAAAGCTGTAAAATACATCAGATATATGAATGGTAGAGATCTTGTGTAACATTTTATTTAAAAAAAAAATAACTAACGAGTTCTTATAATTGGTAAAATTTTCATTTTCCAATATCCTGAGAAACAAAAAGATATCTTTCTAGTCTCAGTACATTCACAATAATTCCCCATTGGAATAAAGAACACATCCAGGGATCCTTTTTGCTATCAATTTCAACAGGGAATTAGTTTACTGTATGAATTTGAAACAAAAAATAAAAATCTACTCTATTTGCTCGATTGAGCTTGAACTGGATAAAAGGAATCTACGAGTTCATCAGTTGGAAAATGGAATCTTGATGGAGGACCCGTCGCATTATTTATAAGGCAGGTCTCTTTTCTGTCTTGAGAAAAACTAGAAATCTTGTCTTCCTGATTTGCAACTCCTACGACGGGTTCTAGCAGTCTGGTTCTCCATTCAATTCCCACAGCCTCAGCCTGATCAGAAAATAGAACCTCTGATATAGGAGAACTGCAAATCTCTTTATATATTTCATAACTGGCAGCATGAGTACGTCCACCTTCCAAAATCTTAGATAGGGGATGCAAAACTGATATCGGATCATACTTTTGTTCTAAGGTGTCCTTCAATTCAAGAAAACGAGAGACAAACTCTTGTTTGCTGAACTGAACAAAGGCTGCAGTCTCATCCAAGTGGAAAATGGAGGTCACAGAATCTGCGCCAAAAACTTTTGACATACATTCTTTTATTTCTCTTGCCTTTAGCTTTGACGGTAGATCACACAATATAACAATATTTGAAAACAAAATTTTCGGATACCGTTGCTTAAGATTAGTACAACTTAAAGAGTCCGCAGGACACTTCCCCGTTCTTAGATCAATAACGTCTCCATTTATCCAGCTAAGGTACAGATGATTGATATACTTCTGGAGCTTCTCATTGTCTACTAAGTTGACATGTGGTTCATGAAGATTGAAATCAATTCCTAGATCAGTGCATGCCTGAGCAAAAACACATCCTGTCATAAAAGCATCATATCCAGCTTCATGCTTGGCTCCAGAGTTCCAATTTGAGAACCTGCAAATATGACACAAATTTTCAGTCCCAATTAGACATTTGGGATAAAATATTAGGTCTTCCGGAACCTAATATTTCTTGGCATTAAATTATTATCATTCTTCCAATTGATTATTCTTCTTTTGTGATTTCTGCCATATTGTTATTCATGGGACAGAAATTGGCAAATCCATGAAGTTACTAATTCAATTTGCCTTCAAAGATTTGAGCTATCTCCACCTGTTTGAACGAACATTGTATATAGACCAAGCAATGAAGTAAGATGCCTTTTCGATATTAGTTGAAGTGATATTCTTGACAAGCTACAGAGAGCACATTAATTAAGCAATAAAAAACAATAAAAAAAGGAATTATGCAACATTAGAAGAAAATTTAAGGGACAAATAAGGGGAACCAACCTCTTATTATCCACATGAACCTCCACTTTAATACGTGGTTTATCCGCCAAAACAATGCTTGAGATACTGGAAGACACAATTTGCGGACACAGTAAGGTAAATGCTTTGGAAAGTGATGTGCTGCCTTTCTTCACAAGATGCAAAAAACTGCTATCTGAATTTAGCAGTACTTTTGTGTCAACTATGTATGGAAAGTGCTTTTGAACCTCTGAGACATACTCTTCAACTGCCGAAGGAAGAGGACCAACAAATTTGTTGTATATGTGTGCCATATCTGCACCAATCCAACAAATTGTCAAAAGGAAATATAGAGTTTAGAAGATGAAGAGCAACACTAGAAAGAAAAACCAATGTAATAATAGTACCCAGAAAGCAATTGTGACCAACAATCAACTTTCTTTCAGTGGAAAGGAGATCAATAACATGTCGAAATCCAACCGCAGCTTTTATTTTCATTACTGCTGCTTTTCCACGAGAATCCTTAATCTCTCTCTGCACAATATAAAGGTGTAATGAGATTATATTTTTATCATACGAAATGAAGTAAGTATCAGGGACAGACCACAATAAAACATCCATTAATAATCTCCGCAACATTTTTATCTTCATCATGCATTAAAATTATGCATATGAAAACTCAAAATTAATTATATTGACGCCTCTCAATAGATATATAACATGTGGCTTAAAAACTTGAAATTTCGTTTTGCAACTACTGCTAAATAAATAAATAATTTAGTCTTCAAACAGTTTCAAGTGTGAAAGAAACTACTCAATTTAATGAAAGATGTCAAATAAAAAGATAACTTAACAGAAGACCGTGTCAAGGCAAGTCTTACCATCAGCAAATCCCTGTCTTCAGTGGATTCTGTATAGACAACTAATGGTTGCGGACAAGAAGTTTCACCGGTCGCATGGACATAAGCAAGATCTTCAAAGTGCTTCTTGGTGACCTTCAAATTTTCAGAACCAACCATTAATAATAAGAAAAACCGCACCAAGGGTTGTACCAATCCATGTAAAAGAAGATGGAAGTATATAAACCTCGCCAAGGATTTTATCAATACATGGAAAAGAAAAGAAAAGTAGATAGACAAAGACATGGTGAATTTCATCCAAAAAAATAATGAACAAAGTTTGTGATAATTTAACTGACAAAGATAAACAGAGCTCACGTGCACAGTACCAGAGATAAAGGGAATGGATGGAAGAACTATGGAAGATTCTGCAATCCATAATCCATTGAACCAATTTTCTAGGAATGTAATGGACAAAACCGAGACGGAAATGCAAGGTACTAAAAGAAATTTTTTGATAAATGAGAATTACAGAGCCAAAGGTCAATAGTGGACTATAAAGAAAGCTAACCAAAGTACAATGAAAGTAGAAGGGGAGAAAATATTTTACCAACTCGATTAATCTTAGCTGGCGAGAAGTCAAAGCATTCAGAACAAGGGCAGGACGCAACTTGAAGAAAGTAGTCTGAAAATTCTGATTTATATCAATCGAACTCCCCTGTAACTCAGATCCTTCATTTGTATTGTGCAACAATCCAGCACGCCATTCACCAATTTTGATCTTCATTCTCTCGGCAAACAAAATATCTGCCATTCTAACCAACTGTGTGTCTGCAGAAGCTTTTAAGCTTGGCAACGAATCAGAAGACTCATCCTTGTACACTGAATTTAACCGTGTTAACGCTTCCTCCTCTTGGCTTCTGGATAAATAAGATATTCCTGAGATATTTAAGAACATAAATACTCCAAATAAAAGCAAAAAATAAAACTGGAGATATTATAAGGTTATGAGTGTGTAGAATAAGTTATAGAGATTGGAACTGAACTTCCAGAAAATCCCATCATAAAATAATTGTGAATTTTTCCTGAAGCAAACAAATGTAGTGTCTTCGAAATCTGACTCGACAGTTTATGAGTAATTTAAAATAATGCACTTAAAATCTATTTCCTAGAGCCTTAAGGAAAACAAAAAAAGAAATACAACACAGTTCAAAAGATCATCTCACGAGGATCATTGATCATCCATTGGTGCGCTCATCTTACAAACGTGTTAAAAATCTAGCGATTCACAGCGACCAAAATACTTAAACAAACAAAAAAAAAGAAATACAACACAGTTCAAAGGATCATCTCACGAGGATCATTGATCATCCATTGGTGCGCTCATCTTACAAAGGTGTAAACAATCTCGTGATTCACGGTGATCAAAATACTTAAAATACCAGCACATTGTAATTTTATTAGGTCATGCAAATAAATATCCCGTGTCATTTCCTGCACTATCTGCTCCATTTTCAGATTATCAGATAAAGAACTGAATCCTGAAACAGGTAAACCCCACTACAAAAACCAGTATTGTAGGTGTGAATGAATACCAATATCCACCAGGGCATTTTGAAGGGAAGGGTTTAACGCCAATACTTCTTGAACCACTTGTTCGTAAACATCATTAAGGTTGAGGGAAGATAATAAGAAAATAAGCAACTCACCTTCATAAATACAAGCATTGAAATCAAACCGGTATTTAGCCAAGAAGTCCAGGGAGGTTGTTTGGCATGAAAACTCATAAGAGGGACCGTCACCTGGAATTTCTTGCCGTGGAAATATGTAAAAATTGTGCCTGCCAAAATCACACATTACTAAGATAAGATTTGGCCTCCCAATTCCAATAAAAGAAAAAGTAAAAATGCTACCTTTCTATTTTTCCTATTCTTATAGCATCATGATAAAGCGCGTGCGCACACACAAACTTACGGATGAGCAATGAAAGAGTGAGTCTTCGAGTCCCAGCGAAAGGGGCAGACACCGAACTGAACGACAGCGAATTTCTCAGCGGAGTCTTTGACCTTGAGGTACCGGATATCGGACCGGTCGAACTCGAATGACTCTCGCCATGGGGCACTTGTAACCCCCGTCATCTCCAAGTCGATTGACACGAAGTCGGCTTCCTTTACGTGTCCCCGGAGCTCGGCTAGCGCCGGCTCGAAGTTCGACTTCGTCACATTCTTCAGCGCCAAGTCGGAAGGATTGGAAGAAGAGCATAGAAAGCGGTTGAATGGGAATAATTGGGTTCCGTTTCGGGCTTGGGCCTCAGTCATGGCCCGAACCAGAAAGCACTTCTTCATCCCCTGCTTCTCATTTCAGAGCCTCTGCCTGCTTCTTAGGGATGTGGATGATTACTCCGTAGGGCACCGGTGATTACGTGCCACGGTAGTGAGAGTTTGGCACGATTATTTGGTGCAGCTACCGGGCTTTAAGAAAATTAAAGAGGGGAAGAGTTTAAAGATAGGATTAACAAACTATACACAATTCAAAAATGACGTTTTAAGTTTGACTAATCCAAAAATCAGATTTTAGTTAATTAA